CCTCCTGCCCCGAGCACATGGCTATGGAGTGATAAGAGGGAGGGCAGCCCAGGTGCTGAAGAACTGCTACGCAGTAAAGGACCTCTTAGCCCATTATTTCTTTCTGTCCTGGGCTCCATTTCATAAGGCCATAAGGCTTCTCAGTATGCACCAGCCAAAATCTAACCTGGTATCACTACCGAAGAGAAATGTGACTATTTTCCCTGGTGTTCAGGGACTTGGCCCTTCTAATGAGGGAAGATTTTATCTGAAAACAGTGGGCTCCTCACTATATAGGCTCTTCACAGTCAGGCATCATGTCAGCCGCCTCCTTTGGGCATAAAAACCCTCAGATGGCATCAGGCCAACAAAAATAAATATATGAATTGTCGTCTGACACCCTAAGTGCCTCTGCATGCTTTCACAAACAATGCTGACATGGGTGGACAGTAATGCAAATATTGTGCTTCTCAACTTAAAAATTATATGGCCTAAGAACTTCTCCTGTGAGGGAAAGAGTGGGATTCAAATTTGTTTCATACAAGTATATGAGGTTTGGTCCTTTGGATCAGAAGCTCAGACAAATCAGTTCCTAGCTATCTTAGTGATACAGTGGGAAACTATGGAGAGCTGAGGCAAAAAAATTAAATTCATAATCCTAACATCTGCCAGATACTATAGACAGGAATCCAGGTCATATGGGAAATTGAAGCAGTCCATGAAGTACAACAGGAGAAAATACCTCTTTGCAAGTGGTAGCTAGAATAAATGATGACATGTTGTTCATTCTAAGAACACTTTCACTGCAGATTTCACAAAACGCAAAGAAGGTACCAATGTGAGATTGCTAAAGATAGCTACAGCACTCGACCCAAGGTTTAAGAATCTGAGGTGCCTTCCAAAATCTGAGAGGTATGAGGAGTGGAGCATGCTTTCAGAAGTCTTAAATGAGCAACACTCTGATGCGGAAACTACAGAACCCGAACCACCAAAAAAGAAAATCAGTGTTCTGCTGGTGGTATCTGACTCAGATGATAAAAATGAACGTGCATCAGTGCACACTGATTTGGATTGTTATTAAGCAGAACCCGTCATCAGCATGGACTCATGTCCCCTGGAATTGTGGTTGAAGCATGAAGGGACATATGAATCTTTAGCGCATCGGGCGCATGAATATCTTCCGATGCTGACTACAACAGTGCCATGCAAACGCCTGTTCTCACGTTCAGGTTACATTGTAAACAAGAAGCAGGCAGCATTATCTCCTGCAAATGTAAACAAACTTATTTGCGTGAGTGGCTGAACAAGAAGTAGGTCTGAGTGGACTTTCAGGCTCTAAAATTTTACATTGTTTTATTTTTGAATGCAGGTTTTTTGTACATAATTCTACATTTGTAAGTTCAACTTTCATGATAAAGAGATTGCACTACAGTACTTGTATTAGGTGAATTGAAAAATACTATTTATTTTGTTTTTTACAGTGCAAATACTTGTAATGAAAAGCAAATATAACGTGAGCACTGTACACTTTATTTTCTGTTGTAATTGAAATAATATATTTGAAAATGTAGAAAACATTCACAAATATTTAAATAAACAGTATTCTATTAACAGTGCAATTAATCACAATTCATTTTTTTAATCGCTTGACAGCCCTAGTTTTTATTAATGAATAAAATACATTTATTTAACTACAAAGAGATATTTAAAGTGAGTTCAGGTATAAGGCATTAAAGTCAGAAGTGGTTACAAGAGAAATAAAGCACTTTTTAAATTTAACAAGCTAGACTTGGTTCAAGGTGAAGTTCTTACCACATCTTCCCAGAAACGTTTTTGACCAAATTCTCAGGCCAGAATCTGCTAGCAAAATCCAAACACTGTTTCTTTTGTTGTTTTAGGTGAAAAAGAGAGATGGAGAGGGAGAGAGAACTTGGGGTGTTTTTGCCCCTCACTGTTGTAGTTCAGTCACCCTGGGAAATGCATTTAACTTTCCTAGTTATAGTTCATTTGAACAGTTAAGAAGGCAACATGGTGTCTGGTGGTGAAGGAGAGTGTGCATGCTGTTTCTTCTCCTCTCTGTTTGCTGAAACACAGATTTTCTTTGTCTTTTGTCTTAGGACCCTGTTTACAACTTTTATATAAATTGAGATGCACGCATTTCCGTGTTTAGGACTTTTCCTGGTGCGGGGCTGTGTGATTTTTGAACATGAGTTAGTAACATCATACAGGGGGATTTTATAACTTAACACAGAATGTTGCTACATATTTTTCACCATGATATTATTGACCAGCAAGTTATTAGTTTTCAAATGGTACATTACAATGGATATTTTGTACAAAGATTATTGCAATGGTGTGTAGGGTGTGAATACAAGGATGCATTCAATCACAATAATCTACCATGTTTTAGATATCCATATTTAAAGGATGCTGCTGCTTTCCATCCTGGAGGCACACTTCTCTGAAAATCCTGTTGTGACAGCTCTGTGGACCTTAGCGTGAAGGAGAATAGACGAATTTATCCATGTTTAGCTGAAAATTTCCCTTTGAGTAATAAAATCTGTAGACACAGCCCACTTTGAAGACAAATGGATCATTCAGAATAGAGATGGAAATTAACATCCAAGGATTTGGATTTGTTGTCATTAGGTAGAATTTATCATGCTCTGCAGTAGGAGAAATTGTATATTTAACACAATCTGTAATTTTGAAAAGTAGATATGAATTAACCTGGCTGGAGTAGTAATGTCAGGGGAACGTCAGGAGGTGGGGCATTCCCCTACTGCCAGTGACTGCCAGGTCTGGTTCTGCCGCCAAGCTGAAAGCAGGTCGAAGTACCCAGTGTAACTGATCTGTTGACCTTATTATTGAAGGAAGGAAATTTTCCAGAAAGCATGGATACATGTTCCTATTCTGGATTTTAATTTTGTCAAGTGAAATTTCCAGGCCTTATTTGCACTGAGTAACTTTTTTAGTGGAAACGTTGCTTACATTTTATTTTCTGTTTAGCAGGACAAGTTAATTGTCCAGTATTGGTATGAGTAAACAATATTTTGATTTGTCTAAATATTCAGAAGTAGTTATCATCAGCATACACTTGTTACAGATTCAGAGTGCTGATAGCTTCTATCAGAAAGGGAGCCCAATTACTGCAGAGTCAGTGTCAGGTATCTGAGACCAGTGTGACAAAGCTGAGGTGAGATCTTTGAAGCCAGGACAAGGATAGTCAAAGGTGGGAGGGATCTACAATTGGTGAAAGTTAACTGGATTTATATATAGGGTGCTGAGAATGCTGCAGATACAATGCCACAGGAAACAGCAGCAGTAGCTGTTGTAGGTTTCCCTGTCATCAATCTACCTGTTCAAGGAAGCAGAAGGAGTGGGAGCGGTGTGAAGTAGCAGCTGTGACTGGAGCACCTGTCAAACCCCTCCCTATGACTTGGAGTATGCAGAATACATTTACAGAGCAGACCTCTCTCCATTCCCAGGCCTGTCTACAAGGCTGGGGAGCACTGCAGGCTTGGTGGGAATAGGGCTTCTCTTCTTTCTCTAGACTACTCCATGTGTGGTTTGCTGCTGGTGACACTGCCATTCACTGAAGGAGGTGCATCAGAGCGGATGTATGAATGGGAATTCATGCATCTCCTGGTACTCCTGCCATTGGGCCCATGTACTAGCAGGGGAAGATAAAAATGTTCAAAAAATGCTTGTTACAAAAAGAAAAACATCAAGAAATTTACAAATGATCAAAGACGACCTGAAGTTTGTGTTTTTAAATTCTTATCCGTAACATTGAAGTAGTGAGTAGGGCTCTGCCAAATTCATGGATGTGAAAAATGTGTCATGGACCATGAAATCTGATCTTTTGGGTGGTTTTACCCTATACTATAAAGATTTCATGGGAGGGAGGAGTCCAGTGTTTCTCAAACTGGGGATCCTGACCCAGAAGCGGGTTGCTGCCTTCAGAGCTGGGTGGCTGGAGAGTGGCGGCTGCTGGCCGAGGACCCAGCTCTGAAGGCAGCAGCACAGAACTAAGGGTGGCATGGTGTAGTATTTCCACCCTTCTGCGCAGCTGCTGGTGGGGTGCTGCCTTTAGAGCTGGGTGCCTGGCCAGCAGCTGCCACTCTCTGGCTGCCCAGCTCTGAAGGCAGCACCACCGTCAGCAGCAACGCAAAAGTAAGGGTGGCAATACCGCAACTCCCATAAAATAACTTTGCGGTCCCCCCACAGCTCCTTTTGGGGTCCAGACCCCTGCAATTACACCACCATGAAATTTCTGATTTCAGTATGTGAAATCATGAAATTTACTTTTTAAAAAACATCTATGCAATGAAATTGATCAAAATGGACCATGAATTTGTTCCCTACTAAAGAGGCATTTCACAATGAATGACTTCGAAGAGAAATTCTTGCTTTATCTGCTAAAAAGTCAACAAACTAGAACTTAGGCACTTTAAAAATTGTCATTATCTGGATTATTAACTACTCCTATTTTAATGACTTTATGCTATAATCTTTAATATATAGTTTTTTGTTAAAAATGTGCTTGTGGGGAGGGGAATTAGGAAGAAGTTTTGGCTATGTATTTGTATGGTTCTTCATGTGACCCTCTGTTCTATATTTAGTAGATATGTACTAATATATGAAGTTTACCATACAAGGTTATTCTCCTTTTTACCACACTTGCATAAATTGTGATATGTTACAAGGATTTGTATGTTTGTGTTAGTAAAAGAACACATTTGTTTGTTCATGAGCACACATCCTATCAGTCAGTAGTGCAAAGGACGTACAGTAAAATCTTAATATGTGATGAGCCTGTTAATTTTTTTCTTTTTCAGATATTTATGGAAGTCTGGGGAAATAAAGCAACCTTAACTGGCCTCTCAGCCAAGTTCCTAACTTACTAAATACATGTACTTTTGCCAGAGTAGCACATTGTGCGTAAGTTCAGAACTTACATTAGTAACACATCTTTTTGTATTAATCACTGTACTATATGTGCAATTTTTCTTTTGTAGGTGGGAAATCCTTTGGTCAGAAGCACCTACCAAGGTGAATTCTCCTCAGGCTCGCCAGTTCACACCTTGTATTAAACAGATTGACTTTCCCACAAATCTAATTCGATTGGAAGTAAATAGTTCCCTTCAGGACTATTACACTGAATTAGATGCAGTAGTACTACATGGTGTGAAAGAGAGACCTGTACTTTCACTTAAGACTTTGATGATAGATATGAATGATTTGGATGAAGATGATGATGAAGAAAAGAGTGACTGTGAAATGGATAGTCTTAATAAACAGTTCAGCGTTGCAGCCCTCAGGGAATGGACAACTAATGGGTATTTTGATAAACTGCCTTATGAGGTAAGGAAAAAATGCTTATTATACTAAAATGGAATTGTCTCAACCAGAGGGCAGAAATGCTGTATAGTTACTGATCCAAAGCTATTTTGTTTTCCTCACTGATTATGCAGTTCCTTGCATTCTGGTTGTGGGTGTGTGACTTACATAATCATTGTATAGTTATTTCTCAATAGTCATATAATAAGTGACTCCGTATACTTTTGGTGGTTGTTATTAGCCAGTCAATGTTCAGGTAACCAGACTGTGAGCATGTACATTTGAACTTAGCTATTACAAACCCTCAGTTCTGCCTCTTGAACTCAGAATTTTTCATCTGTTTCCCAGTAACATGCACACTGCTGTGGCTTTTCATTCCTTTAATTTGAAAAATTCCAAACTTTACATGAAAGAGAAGGAAAAATACTAAAAATCAAACTACTGAAATAGAAATCATTTTAAAAATAGTTTAAACCCTCCATCTTTCCCATTTTCACTGTCTACATCGGGCATCAGGACTCTTGTCCCTAAAATAATTACTATACAACATATTTGTATTTATTGTTTGTATTGGGGAAAATCTCGGCATCTTCCACCCAATTCAGTGTTGAAACACAACACAAAATACACTAAAGCCACGATCTCCAACCTTTTGCATACTATTTTGAAAAAGTCAAGAGGTCACAATCAGTCTGTCCTGTTCTAGTGCATTTGCAGATCCCCTCCTCTGCAACACGGAAGACGCAGGAACCACCTGTAAGTTCTATGGGAAGAATACACTCAGCATGGGGAAGTCACCAATAGCTTTAGGGCCAGCAAAGACAGCTCCTCTCCCTTCCTCCCTGTAGTCCCCAATGCAGAGGGTATATTGGCCGTGGGGAGTGGCTGGAATACAATGTGCTCAACTGTTTGTACACTGTGTTGGGGACTATAGCCTTCTACTCAGATTATAGCTGTCTGTAGGCTTCACTTATCTGTAGTAAGGGAGAGAATTGGGGAACCATAACTGGTACTGGTTTCCAGCTTTTCCTTTTTCTCACCTCGCTTTGGATGTGCTGGCTGGTTTGGGGGGGAGGAGGAGCCATCCTTTGCTAGGCATTCCCCGGGACTCAGGCAAGCTCTCCTTGAGCTTCCCAGACCCTAGCAAGGAAGAAGGCAATAAAACAGGCAATTACATTCTCCTTCCCCTGCAATGCAACAGCAGCTACTGAGAGTGCTTCTAGCTGGAATCAGAGCTGCTCTTGGTGTTAAAGGGGAAATGCTGGGAGGTGGTGTTCTCTTCCACCACCTCCCCAAGTTTGGAGCTGGTTCAATCACTTTCCATTTTAAAATTGCAGGGCATGGCTCAGAGAACAAATTTTCAACTCAGAATCAATTGCAAAGTTTTTTTTCTTAACACAGTCACCCCTGAGGGCCAATGAATAGAATCTAAAGGGCCAAGCTGGGCACCAGTGCATTATAGCTATTCTGGGAAGAACCTGGCTGAAGGGAATGAGTGGGGACGAAGGAGATAAGAGAGGATGTAAGAGGAAAGTAGTGGAGATTGTGGGAAGGGGAGCAAGGAGGAGGGGCCAAAAGGGTTGAACTTTTAAAAGAAAATAGTTTTCCTTTCAGCTCACTTTGGTTTCTGTAGTTTTTCTTTTCATTTAAAGTTTTTAGTATTAAAACACAACATTCAGTTTAAAGCGGATTCTTCATAATAATTGTGTGATATTCAAACTCTGGGCCCTATTCCTCACTGTTTCCTTATTCTAATCAGCTCAGGATTCAGTCTGAATTAATGGGGAAATAGCTGTATTCCGGCCTAAAACATTTTCAGGCTGTCGCAATACATACAGAATAGTTTAGTTTTATATAAACATTTTGTTACTCCTAATATCTCAAATGCACAAAACCCAGGCAAAACATTTTATTGTTTTGAGTGTACTCTGGGACACAGACTGCCCCGGAAAATCTTGTCATGTATTACTGTGTTCATTATTTTTTTCGTCATTTAAAGAAAATACTTCTTAAACTAGGAAAAATGTGTTTAAAAATAGGTCTGTTTTAGAAAAGATGAGCAAACTGATTTGCAGTGTACTAGTCTGTTGGATTAACAAAAGGCTTCTTTGGTGGTCACATTCTTATCTAGGTCCTTAAAGGTATCGGCAAAGAAATGTTTTGGATCCATTTCTGTTGTGCCTACGAACTCCTGTCTCCTATTTGTGTGTCTCCATTTTTCTCTCCTTTCAGTGTACTGCTTTTACCTGTTTTTTACCCATTTTTTTTTTTAAATGTTGGGTTTCATGAATGCATTTATATGGTCTCTCAGGTATCAAGGACTTTTATGTTTGTGTGTGTCCAGCCCCTCATCCATCGAACACTTGCAGGGTTCACAGATTTGCTGCTACCAAACAAACAGAACACCCCAGCTTACCGGTTTCACCTCAGATCACATCTCTCTGCTTTACTTACATTTGATTTTACTATATACATATCTAAGTTTATTTAGCAAAGCACAGAGATTCCAGTAACAACAAGTAGAAGTATTGGAAACAAATGGTTACATATAAAATAAAATCACAACATGCATTCTAGAACCTAGACTTAATTAACAAGATACTCTCATGCCTTGTAGAGTATTGTACATCCAAAATCCATGTAGCACTTTACAGCCAGGTTATCTGTGACCGTCCTTTCAAGACAGTCCATTTGCCTCCTACGTGAAGGGTACCATGTGTTCCCTTGAACCCCAAGATATATGAGAACAGTCCTTTTTCTTTATTAATAAATAGGACCCCTCCCTCTTGCTCTTTGTTTCCTCCTGCAAACTTCCTCTCTTTCAGATTTTGCAATCTCTCAGTTCTGACTTAATATGCAGATAGACCTATATTGTGAGACATATAATACACACATGACCAGACAGGGAAATAGGTATCGGTTACCTCCTGCCTGAAAATAACATTTCCAAGCTATTTCACCTCCTGGTGGTCTGCCTTAACTCCAACACCTTGAGAACATAATTTTTAGTATAAATACATAACTCTTTAAATATTATCCAGACACACATTTCGCAATGATTATGACCACCAGTGGGCTATTGGCTCTCCGTAGAAACCTCATGGGCCACCCTTTGGTCAACTATTATGCAGATATCCAACCCAAGGGATCCCTTTAAAACTCTATGCTTTCTCTCTGCCATTTGGCACCAGGAAGTCCATGGGTCATAAGAGAATCCACTGGGCCCTGGCTTTTTCCTTTCAAGGCTCTAAATTATTTGATTCCTGTCTCTGACGGGAAGATCCTTTTAAAACAGTGTCTCTCTCCCCCCTCCCCCCCCCCACCCTTTGTGTACTCCATTCTTTAACTCTAGAAAAGACACTGACATTTTGCAGTATATCTTTTCCACGTCGGTCAAAGCCTGCATCCTGAGGCACATAGGTGATGGAAGTTGCTTCCTCAGTAAAAATGAAAGCCTGCTCCACCTGAGTGGCTTTGGCAACTTGAGTAAAGAAAAACATCAGTGGACAAATTTTGCAAAGCAGTCAATTGACACTCTCTCCACACATTTACTTTGCATTGAATATATGTGCATTTGCTGATAAAACCTTTAGTCACATGGTACTTAGGGCTGTATATTCCCTCTTAAGGAGCCATTTGCTATAAGGATAGAGAGCTGGAGTATACTGTCGCCCCTTCCTGTCTTTTTTTCATCAGTGCTTCTGGTACACACTTTTTTCCTGATAGCTTGTCTATGCTCCCTTTTTCATAGCTTAGGTGCTTGCTGACGTACTGCTGTAGCAGACCTGGTCATGGAGATGGAAAATTATAATGCCATTTACCTGATAATTTCTTTCTGGCAACATAGACTCTCACCCAGGGGAACTTTGTTCTGAATAAGGAGCTAATGTAGAATCCAGAGTCTGTGCAAACTTGACTCAGTCTTGGAAAGGAAATTATTGGTTAAGTGAAGTTGTAATTTGCTTTTGCTCAAATTAAAATGCTATTGCTGAATAAATTTACTGTAGATAAACACAGTACATTTAAGTATCAGAGGGTTAGCCGTGTTAGTCTGGATCTGTAAAAGTGGCAAAGAGTCCTGTAGCACCTTATGGACTAACAGATGTATTGGAGCATAAGCTTTCGTGGGTGAATACCCACTTTGTATCTGAGAAGTGGGTATTCACCCACGAAAGCTTATGCTCCAATACGTCTGTTAGTCTATAAGGTGCTACAGGACTCTGCCGCTTTTACAGTACATTTAGTGGTTACAGTATTGTTAAAGATATATTCCAGGCATTGAAGAGCTAAACAGTCTAATGGGAAATTGGTTCTTACCTGTATGAACCAGTAGATTTTCATCAGCTCCAGGGAGTTCAGAAGACAAACACTAATGTGACTTGGCCCTCCAGCAAAGCCCCAAACACAGCCCCAAATGTTACCAAGTCTGATGAGCCAGGATGACCTGACCACCACCAAAAGGGTGGTGGTGGGGAAAGGGTACAAAAAATAATGTAGGGATACATATAAAGGGGCGTATTGGTAGTTTATCATGATCTGCACCCAAAGTTTTAGTCCCATTTCCCCATAAGTTCCCTTACCTTTCTGGCAGGTCCACAATTTCCTGGGGAAGTAGTCCTACCTCTGGCACCAAAATGTGGAAGTGAACTCTCAGGTGGGGGGGAAAAAGAAAAATCCAGCTAGTTGACTCCAATTAACCAGTCCTCCCAGAGGATGCTGGCAGTGAGAGGGGCCTAGGGTTTTATATAAGCCCAGACCTAGCTCATTCCATGGGGGAGAGAGCAGAGTCAACACCCAAGGAGACTGGGAGGCTGAAGGAGTGCCACGGGAAAAACAGCTCCAGAAAGAGGTAGGAGGAGAGACTATAATCTTGGGGAAAAGGTACTGAGTTTGGCTAGAGTTGAGGCATGCCTTCTTAGGAAACTGGACTTGCCTGAGAGGTAAGAGAAGTTATTGGGAAATGGGACTAAAGACTGGGTGTAGATGATGATAAAAGGCGTGTATCAGGTTTTTAGTTTATAAGTATTCTTACATTCTCTCTGCTGTCCTTTTCCCCCTCGTCCTTTCTGGGGTGGTCACATCATTCTGGCTTACCAGCCCCGGTGACATTTGTAACTGAAGAATTTGAGACTTAGCCAGAGGGCCGAGTCATGTTAGTGATTGTCTGATGAACTCCCTGGGGTTGGTGAGAATCCATCAGTTCATAACTTTATAAATACCGTGTGCCTTAATGGAGGAAGGGAAATGTTATATACTGTATTTCTGTAATCTTGTATATACATCTTGAGCTCATCGCAAACAACTGAGTTGCTGCAATGTGAGAACATGGGATATGATGACAAAATGGAGATGTAGGATAGATGATTATCTTTACTGTGTATAAAGAGTAACCTTTTCCTTTTTTTCTTTTTGAGTTTGTTCACTGATAATTCTTTAGAGCTGTGAGTGGAGACTTCCAAACTGGTGCTTTGAATGCAGGTTCAATATATGAATGTTCATGCTGTTGTTTGGCATATATTGATCTAATGAGTTATCCTCTTTAAAAGCAGGGTAATCTGTACTTTTTCATTTTGGAAAAGAGAAAAAGTATATATCCGATTTTTTATAATTTTTTTTGTGTCTTATCCTAAGAAAACAACTATCTTTTTGTATTCTGTTTCCTTTCTGTTGAAATCATATATCGGTTTTAAATACCCTCTGTTGTTGTTTTTTTTTGTAACAAAGATGGCAGCTGCCATAATTCTTCATCAATGCATAGTAAAACAGTTTGAAGGAAACTCCACATGTCATGAGATTAGTTTTCAAAAGCAGATATTCAGTTCAGCTGCATTCTGGGAGTTGTCCTGAACACAGAATAGTATAGCACATAACATATTCATTATAGTATAAAATTGTACTTTATGCTAGGATACACACACACACACACACACACACAGCAGGTTTTTGACAGACAGCAGACTCTAGACTAGCAATGATTAATGGTGGTTAGCCTGTAGGCTTAGGACCTGTTATTTGTTTAATCAAAAGTGAGCAAAAAGTATTTACATCTCAATGTCATAATCTTAGGCCTGGGCTACACGAGGGGAGGGGGCGGGGTTCGAACTAAGATATGCAACTTCAGCTACGCTATTCGTGTAGCTGAAGTCGAAGTATCTTAGTTCGACTTACCTGGCCATACTCACGGCAGCGAGTTGAGCGCGGCGGCTCCCCTGTTGATTCTGCTTACTCCTCCTGCCGAGGTGGAGTACAGGCGTCAATTCGGGGATCGATTTATCTCATCTAGTTGAGAGGTGATAAATCGATCCCCGATAGATCGATCGGCAGGTAGTGAAGATGTACCCTAAGTGACATTTCATTATCCTTTTTTTCATTTTAGATATTACAAAATACTCTAATTTTAGTAAATAAAATAAAATGTTGGGATTAACTTTTCTGGTTAAGAGACTGATGTAGTAAGAGATTTCATCTCAGGTGGTATAGAGTTAGTGTTCTGTCACTTAGGAAATACTTTTAAAATAATTAGTTTAAAGGGACACTGGTGAGCTTTTCATAGTCTTGCCACTGTTTGTAGTGCTCAGAAGTCAAAGTATTTTTTTCCATTTAGCCAAACTTTGATGTTCTCCAGCTCCAGTTTTCATTACAGTTGAAATTAATGTTAATTTATCAGAAATTATGTCAGCATAATTCTGAAAGTAGGTTTTGCTGACTTGTATACCCTTTGTTGGTCAGCTTGCCTGTTCAACAGGAGAGCACTATAACTCACTAAAGATCTTAGATGAACAGTGGATATTTTACTGCAGTGGAAAAAAACTCAGAAGGAGTAGTGACTATTCAGAAAATATATATTTATGGTGGATTATAAAAAATGGAATAGGTGAAAGTTACAAGCACTACTATAATTTTAGTGAAAGCATATGTTTTAGAAGTATAATAGAAGCACACAAAGAACTTTGTTAAGCAACTGTAGCTCTAAGTGCATTTCTTAACCATGCAGAAATCAAGGAACTTTAGTTAAGCCAATATTAATGTCATGCTACCTCGACTCCCATGAAGTTATCATTCATATATCACAATACCTAAAAGCACTAACTCCTCAGCTGTGCAATATATTTCCTTTCTATTGCAACATGCAACCGACCACAAAATGCATGTTCAGTTCTTCACAGTCTCACTGAAATATACAACCTAAACTCCAACCTCAGCTAGTTAAAGAGTTTCCCTGTAAACGTGTACTAGTGAAGTCTGTTGTTTGTACATGGAAGAACATTAAGACTGCAGTTAAAGTTGTGTGGTTGTAAGGAATTGAATGTGTGCACAAATTGTATTGTTTGTATGTTAGAAATTAAAGGATGTGTGAAGCCGAGATTGAGTTTGTGTTTATTATATCTGAGTACTGAATCTAGAGCAGGGTGGGAACCAGATGTTTCATTTTGCAGGGAATTTTGTGACTTAGAAATTTCTTCCATTCTGAAACAGAACACACAAAAGTGTTGAAATGTCCTGTTAAATGAAAATCTAGTGGGGGGGGAATTCATTTTGTGTTCATAGAAATATTTTGTTTTTACAAAATTGAAATGTTTCATTCCTATTTTGATTTGATTTTATAATATATAAAATTTAAAAAATTGAAATAAAAAAACATGTTCGGTAAAGGTTAAGTGGAGCAAAACGTTTATTTCAATTTTTGTTTTTAAGCAAACTTTTTTGTCAAAACTGGCACATTGTTTCTAAATGTTTCGCGTTCAACGAATCTGTGTTTAGAGGTCAATAAGTATTCTGTTGGAAAAAAATTTGACAGTCTCTAAATCATTTGCCTTTATGTGTTTGTGTGTGTTAATGTTGACTTAACTGGCGATTTCTTTAATTGTTAGTGAGTGTAATGATTGAATGTATTTTCTATCAATCTTTAATCTAACAAAAGTTTTTGTGTGGTAGTTTTCCTTCCCCCCCTCCCCCTTTTTAAATGAGTATCCATATTTATATTTAGCCATGTTTACAAGCGGAACAAGGTAGGGAAAGCAAGAGTAATTGAAATAGGGCATTATAAGGTGTGTAGTAGGGCTGGGGAGGCAGATTGGGGAGTATTTTGGAGTCATGGCTGTTTGCTTTGGTACTAGCTAAAGAACTTGTGTTCAGAGTTACATCTGGCACAGGGAAGGGATGAACCCCAAGCACAAAGCAAGAACATGATTAGTCTAGGTCTAGGAAAAAAGAGTCAGAAAGTGGGAGTTGTACACTGGTCTCATTTACTTAGTTGGACTTCAGCCAGAACCATGGGGCCTGGGAGGTGTAGGGCTGAGGCTGAAGCATAGTTGAATCTTACAGCAGGGAACAGAGGGCTAAATCCGCGGAAGATCAGAGAATGGGGAGATTGGAGCAGAGCAGGGGTGCTGGAACTATTTGTATAGTGGGGATGCTGAGAGCCATTGAACCAAACTGTAAACCCTGTATATGACGGGAACCACTTCAACCCCAGGGGTGCAGCAGCACTCTTAGTTCCAGCACCTATGGAGCAGAGTCTAATTGTTGTCTGTTGCAAATGTGCTACTAGTTGAAAAACAAATGCAGGGAAGAAGAGAGAGGATGTCAACTCAGTGTCTGATCAACTGAAAGAGCAGACTGTGAAGGAAGCTACGTAAACATAGGGTTTACATTTATACAACTGTTTCAATTAGCTTGGGTAAGAAGCTTCTTAATAGTCAGAAAGCTTCTGTTTCTTTTATATGCTGAACTGCTTTTCCTCTGTTGCTTAATGTTATCTAACTGATAAGGTGGTGATTTCTTATTTAATTGTTAATCTATGGTTTATTTGAGACACTACTTTAAATAAAAATGTTAACTTTGTAATTACAGTATATTTTCTTACTGCTTGGCAAGTTTCCCTTCACACTGTGAATTCTGTGATCTGTTTTTTGTGTTTTTAATGTAGCTCATTCAGTTGATATTGAGTCACCTTACAGTACCAGACCTGTGTAGACTAGCACAGACTTGTAAGCTACTATATCAGCATTGCTGTGATCCTCTACAATACATTCACCTCAGTTTACAACCCTACTGGGCAAGGATAAATGACACATCTCTGGAATACCTACTGTCTCGCTGCACTCTCGTACAGTGGCTGAATTTATCTTGGACAGGAAACAGGGGAGCCATATCTGTTTCTGGATTTAGCAGGTCAGTGCTCAAAATACTGAGGTATTACAACGGGCTCTGTTTTCTGAGATGCTGTTCAGTAGTTTTGTTATTAAATATTTAAAAGTCTTTAGACCTCATGCTTGTAGGAGAAGGCAGGCATACAGCTTCTTTGTGTTTTACCATGAAGGGTAGGATTTTTTGATGTAGGAAAACATTCACTTCAATACATTTTCCAGCTAAAACAATAAGAGATTGTATACGATAGAAGCCAGTTTAATGTGATAGATTAGATATATTTAATATATCTCATCTGCGCATGCCAAATAGTACATACAGAAAAAGTTTCTCTTAATAAGACCTCATGTTAACTTTCTTCTGTAATATTGAGACTCCTATTGTAATTATGCTATAAAAAATCTTTCACAAATAATACATTCAAAATTGTCCTTGATATAGATGAAGCCATTAAATGTCAGTATTTTGGAATTGCTGTGATATTGAACTGATTATATTTCTCACTGTGTACTGTATGAAAGAGAACTGTCAAAAAGAGGTCCTGTAAATTACTAAAGCACAAACTCAGATATATTACTGAAGGTCTGCTTTCAGTGAATTGATAAATTTAGTTTAAACTCTAGTGACTAGCTCATGGACAGAGCTAGTAAGTGATGTATGGGATTATATTTTCAGATCATTCATTAGGCCAGGATCCAGCAAACTGCTTCATATTGGGGGTGAGTCCCTGAGCCTATGAAGAGTCTCACTGAAGTAAATGAGTCTCCGTGTGGGCAAATGAGTCAACCCATGTGGAGCAGCTTGCAGGAGTGGGACCCTAAGTAATCACTGGAGTGTAATGTAAATTAAAATATTTTCACTGGTAGTACTGGTAGTAGTTCATTAAAAACAGCTAAATTGCAGGGACACTTTTCTGTACAACCACTATGTTCCTGGCTTGCTAACATGTATAATTCTTTGCTTTTTGCTCATTTGCCTTAAACAGTATCTATCAGGGCACTTCACTGTAAACAGAAAATGACTTCTTTAAACAAAAGATAACCAGCAGATGAAAGCTTATCATTTTCACTGATAAAACAGAAATGTTTAGTCTAATGTAACTTTTTTTCTGTATATTCTCTCCACTCACATATGTTCATTTCTGATACATTTTTGCAGTACTGCAAACCCTTTTCCCTTTCGGAGTACAAAATACACTGAAACTTCCTCTTTTTTTCTAAATATCATTCAAGATGCATGTCTCCTTATATGTAGATTTATAGGAAACAAGACATTACATAATTTAATATACCAAAGCATCTCCTAATGATGGATGTGCGGTTAGATACATTTGGTTTCTGCTGTCATATAGATTCTCAGTAGTGTCATTTCTATTAACTCAGCTTGTTGAAAACTAGAAGTGTGTGCAAGTTCAAGCTTATATAGATAAACAGTACAACTTTCATTTTTTTTCATGTGCAGTACAGATTAACCTCTGAAAATCTAATGCATGATATTTAACTGTATTAGTTAGACATTGGTGTTATTGGTAGTGGAATAACTGCCCAAATTCAAAGGATTACAAACTCTGCAAAATAACAACATGGCATTATTGGTCTAGGATAGGATTCATTTACTGATTGGCCCTTTTACTTGTCTATGGAAGTGATAGCTGCAGTGATTTCTAGTCAGCATTCCCAGAATAAACACTAAATATTCATAACTTGATTAATGAATAATCTGAATAAGCATAGCCTATTTATGTTCATAAGTGAACAAGATTTATTTAGAACAATTTTAAGAAAAAAGTGTTCTCTCAGACGATTGCTAAATGATCTGTATTTTTAGGAGTTATGCAGAAAAAGTGCATGCTGCCAGTTGGGTTTTTGGGAGGTTTTTTTGGCCGAGGCTCGTTAGTCACGCATTTATACCAGACCCTTAAGAATCAGGACTAGTGAACTAAATTATTGGTTTTATTTAAATATACCATTTACGCAGGGTTTTCACTCTTGAGTAAAAATGTACTATCTTTTATATGTTTTGGCCAGTTTTTTGAAAGATTTTACTGTGAGGACACACATCTTGAAGTGCTCTCTGTTTTATCTCTTTTGCTCTGTAGAGATGTCTTTCTGTTTTTATAAATAATTTTAAAAAGACAAAGTTTTCTGTTTCATCACTGGGCATTGACCGGTTTCTGTCTTTTTCTGGCACAGAGAAAGGGAAGTCTGCTTCCCATTTGGTTATTGCTAAATGAATTTGAGTGTGTTTTAAGGGAGTATAGATGGTAGAGGAGCTCTCATTTCTCATAGGCATTAGTGTGAATTCCTTTTGTAATATGGCCACTTCCTGGGTAAAGATGTACCTTCCTGAACAGAGGAAATCTATCAAGTAATTTTAACATTCCACACACAGCTTCACGTGCCTCCATTATCTGGATGTTGGACCTTCCTCTGATGCAGTTTAAAAATCATATTGTAAACAAATTACATTCTCTATCAATTTTACTAATACTACCTTAGATAACTTAAAGTGAAATATATTTTAAAAATCAAATATTTTGCTAAGTGTGGGTGAAATTCTGGCCTCATTTCAGCCAGTGGCAAAACTCCCATCAGGGTGGATTTGATTTAAATCACTAGTCAGGAAGATTCGATTCAATCATGGATTTCTACATAAAAGTGCATTCTTGTTGGTTGTTTTAACCTTATTACATAGTCTTCACAACTCAGAGATAGATGTAGGTTTCATTTTTAGAAGGTACACACTATATATTTTTAAAGTGATTTATTTTGAAAACTTTTCAGATTAGTTTTACAGCTGTATCAGAAAATGAATGATTGGTTATTTTATTTACCAAAGGTAGTTGAAGCAGATATTTATGAAATCACTGGGAGGTGAACTATCTCCAGTTCAACAGGTTAATCATTAATATTTGGAGGATTTTCTTGCTATGCTGTATTAGGAGGAGAACATCACCAGACAGACATTTTAAATTGTTTTATTCAACTACGTTATGTTTTCTGGATTTTTTTCTTCAACACCAAACATATAATATTTTAACAAAGCAAGCCTATGAATTTTTTAATTTAGTTAAACATTCAATTATTTTAAAATCAGGTTTGTTTTTTGTTAAAATTGCTTTTAACTAAAATAGTTAAATGAAATACTTAAAAAAAATTAAATCAACTTCATGTCATCTAGGTCAACATGAGAAACGTAAAATATTGGCTTCCACAGCTAACTCAGTCGTCTTCACCTTCATTTTCCTGTTTGTTCATCATCTGGAAAAGAAAAACAAGCTTTCCTGCTTTTTCAGGTCCCACACGATTTCTCAATTTAGAATGATTAGTTCAAAGGAAGAAAATATTCTTTCTACACCGACAGAAGAAGCTGCTGCTGTTAAAAGTGAAATTATCACTTCAACACTCTCTGAATCCAAATGCTAAAGTGACTTCCACCAGTTCACTGGTGCGACTTTCTTTAAAACATAATCAGCAAACCCTATTTCTTGAATGGTTCACCCTTAGCTCTGAAGTTTATTATAGTTAGGATTATGGAGGGATGATTGCTGGATGTCCATGTCATAGCCAACTCCTCTTCTTCGGCAGTTAAGGTCTGACTCTGGTACCAAGTATTGAGAATATTTGCAAGAAAATGAGCTGGAGATAGTGCTTGTCCCATTTGTTTTTTTAATACTTGTAATTTAACTCTGTCATTACATATTTCTCTTTTTAAGATCTCACTCAGTTCCTTCCAAATTTCAACAGCATCAGTAATAGAAGAGCTGTTTCCCTGCATTTTGTTCAAGGCTACAGAAATAGGCTTCAGGATACTCAGCATGTGTTCAACATTTCTCTTAAGCCCAATGTTGAGAACTTTGGCTGTGAGAGTGCCATCTATTTTTTTCAGGATTTTGTTCACAAACTGTCATCAGATTAGGCCAGTTCTTGATAGAGTGCTCAAAACAGTTCACTGCTGAGTTACATCGCAGGTCTTGTGGGAGACTTAGTTTGTTTCCTCCCACTTTTTTCAGAGCAGCTGCTGCAAAGTTGTTGTTATGGAAGTATTTTGCAACTTCAACAACATTAGGCTTATTTCTGAAACACTGAAGTCTTTGGCTAGGAGATGCACTGCAACCGTATGTTATTAGCTTGGAACGCTCTTCTAAATAATTTTGTCTCATCTTGGATACATTTGCAGCATTGTCTGTGACCAAGCTTCATATTAGACATTTGAATTTTTTTTCACAGTTTGTTATAGCTTTTACTGCTGCTACTTGTAAGTGTTCTGCTGTGTGTGCATTTCCTGATGTCTCAATTGTTTCTGTAAGGAAGACATTCCCTTCTTCTGTTGTCCCACAAGCACATACAACAGGATCATTGTGGACATTGCTCCATGCATCAAGACTCAGGTTAATAATTTTACCATCTAGAGCTTTTGCACACTGCTCAATTCCTCTTTCATACACTTTATCCAACAGTTTGCCTGCGACATCTGCTCTGTTGGGTGAACTGTATCCTGGTCTTAATGACTGAACCATGTTAATGAAGTGTGGGTTCAACTTCTCAATCATACAGAAAGGAGAGTTTGTTGCATAAACAAACCGGGAAATTTTTTCATCAATTACCTCTTTTTGTAATCTGCTGGTTCTTATCACAAACTTATCTATGGTTGTTTCTGGATGATGGAGATTTTTTTTTCTTTTTGCTACAGTTGATATACTGTGGCTATATGACATACATGATGTAACTGAAACACTATCATTGGCAGATAACTCTGAAACTATAGAAGATGATGATCTTGAAAGTGGATAGTCTTCAGAATCCTGTATGTTGAGGATGGCTTCTCCCAAACAAAATAAGTCAATACAGTTATTTAGTTATGATTACCATACTGCTCATTTAGTATTACTTATTGCATTCATTGACACTCAGTAGTACTTTAAAAGTAAAATTGTAAAAGGAAGATCTGCCTATTTCAGCTATTTATTTTTTATCACAACTGCATCTAAAATGATAGAACCATAGAGTAACAACTATATTTTTTGCTCAAACATGAGAAGTCAAGAATAGTCCAGAAGGAAGACTGGCGGTCCTTAAGAAAGAAATATGAAATAAAAAAGTTTACCAACCTGAAGATCCTGCATGTTCAGACATGTTCCTTTCATCATCTTCAACGCATTTTCCTCCTGAGAAGGAACACTTCTCATGATGTTGTTTCATTCGGGCAACCAGGCCTTGCATTTCTTTGTTGCACTGTTTGCATTTTGCATGCATGCCTGTCTTACCCACAGGTAGAGGAACTTCATTAAAATATTCCCAAACTGAGTCTCTTTTACAGCTTGCTGCCATTATAGGTTTTCCCTTCTAGTGAGAGAATGGTATGATAGATCGCAAATCAAAGAAGGCTACACTCAGAAAGACCTCAAGACTTCTGGAATATGCTGTTCAAACAGTTTCACTTTTGTTTCTACTGCCTGTCCCTCCCTTCTCACATTTATCTGAAGACTTCTTTTCCTTGTCCAGGTCTCTTCCGCCTACAACAATCTTCTATTCATTGAACTTTTTGAAACTTTGCACTTTTAGAGAAAGGTAAGGGATTGACTCTGTACACAAATTTGCAGAGGGACAAAATAGGGTTGAGGTCTGTTATTTCTATATATATTATTTATTTAGTTTAAAACATTTTTGCTGTTAACAAGCATGTTATCTCTGGAGACACATCATCAGTTTGAGAAATGCAAAACTAAGCATCTCTGATGGTATCTTCTACACTGAGCACTGAGTCCTATTGGGTAGATAGAAAGATTAACTTAAATAATCTATACAGAAGCCCCTGGAACCCCATAAAATTGGGTCCCTAATCCATGAACTATTGGAACTCATTTACAAAACTTTTCTTAAACATTACATGAATATGTCTCATACTATAAAATTAGAATTTATAATCCCTATTCCATGATGAGATATTTTGAGCTATAATGTAGCTTAATTAAAACTATCTTTAGATAGGTTTTTTTCCCTCAAAAAGCATTTTATCAAAAAAAATCAAATTAAATAAAAAAAAATCTGATTTGATTTTTTTTAATCGTTGCTTTTTATCCACCCTGACTCACACTGACTTCTGTGGGGCCAGGATTTCATCCTATGTAATTTAAATTGACAGCATTCCTCTAAAATAACCATATATAAATGACTTTTAAGAAACATTCTTTGTTTATACTTTGATCAGTTAAACAGGTAAGTATTCTTGGAAGTCATTATTTTAAAATGTAAGGGTCTAGAAAAAATGGAATAATTTAAGAAATCTGACTAAAATAAACTTTATTGTCATGAGATGATAGAATGCTTCAGGCACGTGAACATCCTGAGGCAAAGCTGATGGTAATTTAACTTATTGATAATGTCCATTAGGGTTACAGAAGAATATCATAACTGTTTCACTTCAGAGTATTACAGAAAATAACTAAACTCCTATAATTTGGGTAGAAATAAAGGGGGGAGGGGAACTGAAGTGGAAAAAGGAGACATAGCAGGTATTAAAAAGTGAGATGAGTATTTGAATAATCTGTGATGTATCTATGCCAAAATGACAAGTATGGAGTGTCAGCAGGAAGAGACTATGAGAAGTCTTATAACATAAATAACATTATTATTCAGTTGGTGTTAGAGACGTAGTGGATTAATTCACACAACTGGAATGTCCGTGTAGATGGACATGACCTGTTCAGGAAAGTAAGGCAAGGGATCAAGTGATGCTGTGAAATATATCAAGACTCTGTACAAATGAACTGAGGTGAAAAAGGAAAAATCCCTCTGGATTAAAGGGACATTATCAACTAAAAATTACATTTTGAAAATCGGTTACTTTATCTTTATACGTTAGAGTATTAAAGTGAAACAATGGAAATATCCAATTTACATATTGGCCTTTATGCTCTTTGTTTACTTTTTAAATTTGTCTTATACAATGAAAATCATTAAATTGGTTATACTTTCAGTTCTTAATGTTGCCATGTTTACGTTTCATGCACTGAAAAAAAGCCCACAAAATTGCTGACAGATATAGGGACAGATGTAGTACCTGTAATTACTTTTAACTTGCTTGTAAAGCTAGCATAGCAGAACACAGAACTATCTGTGTTCTTGAGTTCTAGGGACAACTTTTTTTTTTGTTTCAGAGGGTAGAGAAACATCTAAGGCTAGCTATTTTAGAGGTGGTATTAATAGTTTGGAAATGGTGTATTATTTACCTTAATTGTGTGGAGTGCAAGTGGGTTTTTGTTTTTTAAGGAAAAAAACAATCCAGTGAACTTTTTTCAGCTTAATCCTGTTTTAAAACCTTAATGACACTCTGAAGTATTTGCATGAATATAAGGTATGCAAAAGTTTTTTGACTCTAGAAAATTCAGGATTTTAATTACAAATCTGTGAATGAAAAATTTATTAACAGTCAGAACAGAAATGACCAAGGTTCTACCATGCCTAGTACGAAACAGCGTTCTAAAACTCTGGAAGCCAAGAGAGGAGTTGAAATGGGTGAAGTCATTGGTAAGGGTACATTTATGTCACGGAGATCACAGAAGTCATGGAATCCATGACATTTTCTGCTTCAGTCCCAGGCTGGGGGACTGGAGCCCTCAGCCAGTGAGGGTCATGGCAGGGTTCCAGCAACTGATGACAGCCTCCTGAGAGGGCCCCCACAGGGTCCAGTGACAGGCGACAGCCCTCGCTCGGGTGAGCAGCTGGGGATGTCCAGTTTTTTCTTCGGGAAATATGGCCATCACGCAGTGCCCATAGGTGGGGGGAGGGGTCCCCCCTGCAGCTCCCAGCCAACACGGTGGTGGGGGAAACCATGGAGCCGCAACAACCTTGGGTGCTGGATCCCCCACTTCTTCGAGTGTTGTCCCTGTGGGTGCTCCACTTCAGGTGATGGTGCGTCCTGGTGCTATTGATCAGAGATTTTCAGTAGCAGTGCTTGGTCAGGCCGCACGTGCGCAGCAGCTGTCTCGCGGTGCCATTTGAGTCTCTTCAGTGTGCGCATGGCCCGACCCCCTCAGTTCTTCTCAACTGTCCTCGGCTGAAGACAGAGCTCAGGGCAGTGAGACAGCTTCTTCCCCTAGAGATAGAAAAATAGATAATTAGATAAAAATTGCTCAGTTAAAAATATTTTTCCTTGGATAAGTTAGTTTGTTAGTTGTTTGTTAATTGGAAAAAAAAATCTTTGTTTTTCTTCGTTTCCAAGTTCACGACTCCCTGTGGAGCACAATCCATTAAAAAAGGTCTTGAGTGGACCAAAGCTTACTTTAGCCATGTCAAGCTCCCCTGGCTTCAAAAGTTGTGGCTCTTTCAAGGAGGCTATGCCACACTCTGGGCACTCCCTCTGCATCAGATGCCTCATGGACACACACATACCATCCAAGTTCATCCACTGCAACAATTTGAAGGCGAGAGCCAGGCGCGACCGGGATCTACGCCTCAAAATGATCCTAATGGAGAAATCACTCCAACCTGGATCTGAGAAGGACACCCAGAAGCCTTCTCCTAAGTACTCTCCAACTCGGTCTGAACCGACCATGAGCACAGCTCCACCCTCTCAAGAAAAGAGGAAGCGAGTCTCTACCTCTCCGCAGAGGGAACCTCACAGAAAGAAATAGTCCCCTGCGAGGTCATTGCTAGTGGTGCTGATGGTCCCGAGAGTCATACCTACAACTTTCCCAGCACCTCCAGCATTGGACGCACCGCTCATAGGAACAAGGAGTCGAGACCACAAACATGCTATGTCTCCTCCTTGGCACCGACAGTACTGACGACTATGTTGGCGGTGGTGCCGGCCATACAACCGCCACTGGTGTCGACGCGTGTCTCGGCACCACCACCTTCCTCAGCAGCATCGCCTCCCCCAGCACACACAGACGGCACCGCAGTGGGGCCACCGGCCCTGACAAAGGGGAAAGAAGATGCCTAGACACCCAGCGTCTACTACTAAGATATCGGTACCGCACTCACCAGCACTGCAACAATTCCTGACTCAGAGGGACATCACTGTTGCGTTGGTGCCAGAATCACCTCTCCTCGGCACTGAGGGATCACCTATCACACAACCGACTTCGGCTATGACACCATCAATGTTTAGTGACAGTGATGATGAGGACCAAGAGGAGGGAGTGTTTTCACCATAGGGCTCGCCCACACCTCAACGAAAACCTACTGGAGGCACAGTGCGGCATAAAATCCACCAGACACAACCTTACTATCCATGGTATGGACCCCCATGGATGGGTACTCATATGGCATTCCCAATGCAATGGCCACCATGGGACCCCTGGGCAGCATACAAAGCCCAATAGGCTCAAACCTCCTCTCCGCCTATGGTATAGCTCCGGTCCCCTTCTTTATCCCCAGGGCTGACAACATCAGTAGCCACGGAGGAGATGGGCAATGAACAAGAGGAAGAGACTGCCCCCGAAGCAGTGTCACCTGAACATAACTCTTCCTCTTCTCCAGATGAAGCTATCATGCCAACTCCACCTACCATGGCTGACAACTTTAAATAATTTCAAGAGCTATTCAAACACATAGCGGTCAGCCAAGACATCCCTCTAGAGGAAGTCCAAGAGTACGAACACAAACTATTAAAAATTCTACAATCATCTTCTGCGTCAAAAATTGCCCTGACCATAAACAATACCATCTCCGAGCCTGCAGAAACAGTATGACAGACCCCAGCCACCGCCCCGCCAACATGCAAATGGGTGGACCTTAAATATTATGTTCCAGCCAAGGGCATAGACTTCCTGTTTGCCCATCCACAACCAAATTCTCTAGTGGTGGAAGCAGCAAACCACCAGGCCAAACAATCCCAACATCACTCTACGCCACAGGATAAAGACCACCAGCGTCTAGACCTCTTAGGTCGCAAGGTCTACACCTCCTCAACGCTACAGTTCCACGTTGCCAACTACAGTGCTCTCTTGTCTAAATATGACTTTGACAATTTTGGGAAACTCTTTGGGTTTACTGCAGACATACCAGAAGACAGGAGAGCACAATTTAAATCAGTCCTGATCAAGGGACAATTGGTGGCTGATGGCCTTACAGGGCTTCCTGGACAGCATCAATTCTGCAGCCCTTACCACAGTTACAGCGATAGTGATGCGCAGAGACTCATGGCTGCTATCCTCTGGCATACCAAAAGAGCTCCAAATAAAGGTTGAGGACCTACTTTTCAATAAGGACAAACTGTTTTCAGTTAAAACCGATGAAGTCCTATGAAGGACTCTCTAGCGACCCTTTATACACTTGGCATATATACACCACCCCCAAAAAGGAAGCGATACCAACGAAACAAAGATACTCAATATACCGGCCCTCAATCCAGGCCGTACGAGGCAGGCAGACACAGAAATAGACCACTTCAGTGCCAGCAGACACAACCACAACAAGCAGTGTCCCAACCATCAGGGAACAAACCACAGTTTTGAAGGCTTGGTTGAGGGTCTGAATGACTTCCCCTTAACACCAGCACCTACCTGCCCATTTGATCACCCACTACAGCATTTTTTCCAAGCTTGGGAGCATATTACACATGAGACCATTGTGTCTTAGAAGTAGTTCATTCAGGCTATTCCATCCCTTTTACTTCTTGCCCCCCTGCCATCCCTCTTCAGGGACAGTTCTCGCGAGCACCTTCTAAGACCGGAAGTAGATCGTCTACTACAGCTAGGGGCCGTAAAATCAGTACCAACGCAATACAGAGGAGGAAGACTTTTTATTCTCACTATTTCTTGACCCAGAAGAAAAGTGGTGGATGGCGACTGATACAAGACCTATGAAAACTCAATAAATTTGCACACTCCCAAAAATTGAAGGTGGTTACCTTAGGTACAATAACCCCAGCGCTGGAACAGGAGGACTGGTTTTCAGCCCTCGACCTGCAAGATGCATATTTTCACATCTCAATACATCCGGCTCATAGACAATTCCTCCGATTACAGTGGGACATGACCACTTCCAGTACAGTGTGCTCCCATTTGGACTGTCCACTGCACCCAGGGTGTTCTCCAAAACTCTTGCAGTAGTTGAAGCTCACCTGCACAAACAATGGATCATATTTTTCCCATACCTAGATGATTGCCTTGTCAAAGGACACTGGTACACAGACAGAAACGATCACACGACTGATCATCAATCTCTTCCAGAGACTGGGGTTCCAAATTAACTTTCAGAAGTCCACATTGATACCCACAACTAGAATTCATCGGGGCACACCTGTACTCAACTCAAGTCAGAGCTTCACTACCTCATGCCAGATTCCTAGCCATCAAACATCTCATAGAACCATATCCATCTGTCCATGAATTGAGGCACAGACGTGCCTACAATGACTAGGACACATGGCCGCACCATTTTCATGGTAAAACACTCCAGATTATACATGTGATGTCTCCAGGGCTGGCTGCATTCAGTATACAAACCCACCAAACACAGTCTCAACATGATGGTAACACCACCGACCAAGGTTTTAGCATCCCTACAATGGTGGACAAGATGAGAGAACATCTGCGTAGGGGTTCCCTTTCACCACAGATCTTCAGTCACAACAGATGACTCCCTACTGGGCTGGGGGACACACCTGGACCACCACACGACATGAGGCAGATGGTCAACACCAGAAGCACGCCTTCACATAAACTTGCTAGAACTCAGAGCAGTAAGATATGCCTGTCTTCACTTCCTATCACTCATAAGAAATTAATCAATTTGTGTGATGACAATGTTGCATGAATGTTCTACATCAACAGACAAAGGGGGTCCCAATCCCACTCCCTATGCTCCAAAGCCATGAGACTATGGAACTGGTGTATCCAGCACCACATTGACATCTCAGCTTCTTACCTACCAGGATGCCAAAACACCACAGCCGACACATTAAGCAGATGGCTCTCACAAGAGCAAAATGGGAACTCAACCATAGTGTCTTACAACAGATATTCTATCAATGGGGTTCCCATCTATCAACTTAGCAGCCTAACTGTTGTCAAGTTTTTAGTAGGCATCACAGCAAAGGAGAGTTTTGAAGATGGATTTGAAAGTGGATAATGTGGTGGCTTTGCAGATGTTTATGGGGAGCACCTCCCAATCATGTGGGATAGCATAAGAGAAAGCATGAAGGATTTTGTTTGAAAATTAACAAGTGGGTAGTAGAGGCTAGCATGGAGAGGTGAGCACTGAGAGTTCAACAATGAATGAAGGATGATAAGTAATAGTGCTTATTAACTGTGAAGGCCTTGAAAGTGAATACAAGTTGATGCTTTAGAGAAGAGGGAGCCATTGAGGACATTCAGAGAAGGTGGTAATGTGCTCTAAGTGACGGGCCAGGAAAATGATTTTTGTAGCAGCATTGTAAATGGATATGAGCGGGGTGAGATTGCAATGGTATAGACCCAGTATTTACATGGAGACAGTAAAATGGTTGTTAATGCAGAAAAGGCAGAAGAAGAGTGTTCAATAAATAGTTCTCTTCAGTATTTGGAAAGTAGGATGAGGTACTCATATCATATGAGGACAATAAAGTATTTTTCAATCCAGTAGTAAACAAGGAAAATGTTAAACATCATTTCCTTATAGATAAACATTTCTAAATCATCAGGCCAGTGCAACTTGCACCCACCATCCTAAAAGAGTTGGCTTTGTAAGTGTGAGGGAGGGTTGGTTTTATGAACTTGCCTTGGTGCCAGTAAGATTTTGAAGCTGAAATCTAACAAACTATATTTGCCAATTTTATAAGCATTAACGCCAATATTAGAATATAGTCTAATAAGATAAACCCTCTTTAGTGAATCTAAGGAGCGTTAGTTTACTAATTTAACACTAGGTTCTTTTTAGGTAAACTTTCATGTTGAACAGTATTTCTCAGATGAGGACACTTGGCTATTCATAACCAGTCAACAATTTATTAATTTACCAAGAACCACATCAGTATACAATCAGCAGTTCACCAGTCAAGTCTGGATACAACCAATGTTCTAGATACGTACTGAGGACGCCAAGACAGTCCCATAAAGCAATTGTTATAGACTAGGATTGAGGCTGATAAGTTATAGGCTCAGCAGGAACAATCCAGATTACTTCTGGCACTCTTAAGAGTGTGGTCCCTGCTATTTGAGTACAGGGAGTCCTCCGACTTACGACACAATTCATTTCTCAGAATTGTGTTTTAAGTCGAAACGCCTTTTCCCATAGGAATCAATTTTATGAAGGAGGGATTGGTTCCTGATCCAAGGCTTGATACACTATATTCACCACAATAACCCAGATATTTGTACTAAATGAATTATAGATTACTAATGTTGCAACATCAATATATTTACTGTACACTGTATTTTATAAACAGCATTCAAATAAACATATAAACTCACATATGCTGCTCAGAACACTGGCAACACAGGCTCAGAAAACCAGGGGAATGGCACACATGCTGCGCCTCAGCCAGTCACTGTTCAAGCTTTCTGATTGGTTGAGCCCGGGGCCAGGAGCCAATCAAAAACAAGTGGCAACCCTATGCGGCAACAAGCTACCCTGCTGCCCTGAAGCCAGTCAGAAGCGACCCGTTGCAGCTCCATACCAGTACTATATAACACAACCAGGAAGTGATTTCAAGCAAACTTTATTCAAAGTCAGCATCATAAGGGTGAAACAAGCGTTGTAGGGGCAAAATGGGCAGTCAATTGAAAAGTGTCGTAAGTCTGAAGACTTCTGGTAGTTTGATAGTTTAAATTTGTCCCTTTCCTATCAAAGGAATCACTTAAAATTGGTTTCTCTCTCTCAAGCCAGTTTGCCTGGACTTATAAAGGAGAGCATGCATACAGACTTAGTTAGTTCTAAAGTATGGTTACTTGAGGTCTCACTAAAGAATGTAAATTCAACAAGACAACCTTTAGTTATTTATATTAAAGATAGAAGAAGAAATACAGTCATTAAAATGAAATCTCACCACTTCTCCTTATCCTGGTAACCCTGCAATAGGGGAATAGTCCTCTCCATAGGGCTTGCCTGGGCATCAGTTGTACTTCTGGATTTTGCCGTTTCTTTGTAGGTTCAGCCAACTCTGGGGTCCCACATGGATGGTGATCTTCGTTTTGTATACCTTGATTCCAAAGGGCAACCCTCCAATTTCTGTTGGACAGTTGTCAGCTGAGTGATCAGATTTCTGCTCTGTTTCTCTGCTGCTTCAGTCAATATCCAGTAGATGGCATTGGTGTGGAACAAATTTGTTCAATCATATTCTTATCGGAGGGTGTTTGTTTGATTCATTTCAAAGATTGTATTTCAGCACTAGCCCACATTAATTGCAATTTCCCCCTTTTTAAGCCGTTTATTTTAATTCAGAGTTTTGCCCTAGTCAGGTGTCCACTTCTCTTAATGTTCTCTTTCCTTCTTGCACCATACAACTCATGCCATTTCTACGGGGAAACACTCATTCAGAAAGAAAACAAAGTCCCCTACTAAACCTACTGGACATGGTCCATACGTTCTTTGATTGTACTAAACATTTCACATCATTTAGGTCTCACAACAGAAGATACTATCGACATAGAGAGAGAGAGAGATCTAACTGACAAGGCAAACAAATTCATAGTTTGGGGTGAAGGCAAGGTGGTTTGGATTTCTTGGGGTAACAAGCTGTTAGACCAATGTGACCTTCAGTTTTCTGGGTTTTACAGCTCAGTTTCTCCCACCCATCTCTTTATCCACTTGCATTGTACATTGGGCCACTTTGTCTAGGAAAGCAGGGTATTACTTCGTTTGGTATCCTTTTGAGACTTTTTTTCAGCTACATTGCGTGGGAGAAAGAGACTTTATCCATATGTAAATTATGAGAGAGTCATGCCTATGGTATTCTCTTTCAGCTCGCTTTTTGGTCTCTCTTACTGGGGATACTCAGATAATGGGGAGTGAAACTCATAACCTTAGCTGATCTGTAGGTCCTTAGACAAAGTGTCTCACATGGTGTGAATCATTTTCTCACTGTCTTTACTTCTTAGGTGGAGTTCAGTAGTAGGTGGGTCCTATTTGGGGATAAACAGAGGTGCATAATTTTTCTTATTTTTGAGGGACATAAGGAAGTAATATTTATCAATCATTCAAGGCATATGTTATAGATACTCCTTACAGTTGATAAGATCTCTGGCCTGCTGATCTTAATTTTTAATAGATCTTGGAGTACCTTGGCTATTCCAGGAGATTGGAAGAGTGCTAATGTTGTGCCAGTGCTCAGAAATGACTAGCAGGATGACCCGGGTAACTGTAGGCTGGTTAGCCTCAAGTCAGTCCTGGAAAAAATACAGTTACGAACACCAGAGTTCTGAACTGACCAGTCAACCTCACACCTCATTCGGAACTGGAAGTATGCAATCAGGCAGCAGTAGAGACCAAAGAAAGAAAATACAGTACAGTACTGTGTTAAACATAAACTACTGAAAAAATAAAGGGAAAGTTTAAAAAAAAAATTGACAAGGTAATGAAACTGTTTCTGTGCTCATTTCCTTTAAACTAAGATGGTTAAAAGCTGCATTTTTCTCCTGCATAGTAAAGTTTCAAAGCTGTAGTAAGTCTATGTTCAATTGTAAACTTTTGAAAGAACAACCATAACATTTTGTTCAGTGTTAGGAATATTTCACAGTTATGAACAATCTCCATTCCCAAGGTGTTCATAATGCTGAGGTTCTACTGTAGTGGAAAAGCTGATACAATATTCAATTGATAAAGAATTACAGGATAGGAATATAATTAATCACAGTCAACATGATTTTATGGAAAATAAGTCTTGTCAAACCTGGTTTCATTCTTTGATGACCCTACAAGTTTGATTAATAAAGATAACTCCTTAGATGTGATATATTTAAATGTTTGTATGGCATTTGACTTAGTACTGCATGGCATTCTGATTAAACAATTAGCACTATACAATATCAATAAAGCACTCATTAAATGGATTAAGATCTGGCTAATGGCAGATCTCAAAGAGTAGTCATCTCAGTGGGGAGTCATCATTAAATGAGAGTTTTTCCAGTGGAGTTCTGCAGAGATTGGTACTAAACCTGATGCTATTCAACATTATCATAAATGATGGGAAAATAAATATAAAATCACTGCTGATAAAATCTGTGGATGAAAAAGATTGGTGGAGTGGTAAATAATGAGGACAAGGCAGTCATACAGAGCAATCTGGATCACTTGGTAAGCTGGACTTATTCAAACAAAATGTATTTTAATGCAACAAAATGCAACGTTATACATGTAGGTACAAGGAATGCAGGCAATCCCTATGGAATGGGGACTGTGTCCTGAAAGCATTGATTCTGAAAAGGGTTTAGTGGTCATAATGGACAAGCATCTCAACATGTGCTCCCAGTGCAGTTCTTTGGCAAAAATGGCTGATGTGATCCATGGATGTATAAATAGAAATAGTGAGTAGGGGTAAGAAGTTGTTTTACCTCTGTATGTAGCACTGGTGAGACTGATACTGGAATACTGCATACAATTTTGGTGTCCACATTTTAAAAAGGATGTTGAAAAATTAGAGAGAGGGTTCAGAAAAGAATCACAAAAATGATTTAAGAGTTGGAGAAAATGTCTTTCAATGAAAGACAAAGAGCTCAATCTGTTTAGTTTATCAGAAAGAAGACTGAGAGGTGACAATTACAGTGTATAAGTATCTTCATAGGCAGAAAATAGTGGGTACTAAAGAGCTCTTTAGTAGAAGAAGGCATAACAAGAACCAGTGGCTGGAAGCTAAAGCTAGACAAATTCAAATAGAAAATTTAGCATTTTTTAACCATGAGGGTTAAACTGGAACAAACTACCAAAGGAAGCAGTGGATTCTCCATCTTTTGATGTCTTCAGATCAAGAATGGATTCCTTTCTAGAATATATGCTTCAGTCATACCGGTTATTGGGCTCAATACTGAGATAACTGGGTGTAATTAAATAGTCTGTGATATAACACGGAAGTCGAATGAGATGATCTAATGGCCATTTTTGGCCTTAAACTTTATGAATCTATGACATAGTCCTAGAAAAGCCTACTAGCTATTCTTATTTTTCAGTCATCAGTGTTGAATATGCTAGGTGGTTGTTTCTCATCACAACTGTAGTGAATGTGAAAGTGACCTGAGTAGGGTTCCATCCTAAGCATCACATTTGTACAGCTCCTTTGTTGACAAGCAACTCCCACAATGGTGGGGCTTCTTCTTCCTTTTAGGGGCGATGGTACTTCCAGTCCAAAAGGAAGATGCCTCATTTTCCCTCTTAATCCATGTATGTCTTGCACTAACTGGTTAGGGGGAAAGGAAATAGACCCTAGGGCTTCTCCTTTCATCTTGCACGCTAACGGAAAAAATGAGGAAGAAGGGGACATGGGATAGGGAGAAGGAGAAAGTGATGGACAATGAAAGGGAGAGTGAGGGAAAAGGAGAGGAGGGTGATAATGTAAGGTATGGAATAAATGAGGGAAAATGACTATTGCAGAGAGAGAAAGGGAAGGAAAGGAAGGATGGGATGAATGAGTGAATGGCTAGATTAGACTCCTTGCAGAAAGAGAAGGCTTAGAGACTTGATCGTTTAGACACTATGCCCTGGTCTACACTAGGACTTTAGGTCGAATTTAGCAGCGTTAAATCGATTTAAACCTGCACCCGTCCACACAATGAAGCCCTTTATTTCGACTTAAAGGGCTCTTAAAATCGATTTCCTTACTCCACCCCTGACAAGTGGATTAGCGCTTAAATCGACGTTGCCGGCTCGAATTTGGGGTACTGTGGACACAATTCGATGGTATTGGCCTCCGGGAGCTATCCCAGAGTGCTCCATTCTGACCGCTCTGGACAGCGCTCTCAACTCAGATGCACTGGCCAGGTAGACAGGAAAAGAACCGCGAACTTTTGAATCTCATTTCCTGTTTGGCCAGCGTGGCAAGCTGCAGGTGACCATGCAGAGCTCATCAGCAGAGGTGACCATGATGGAGTCCCAGAATCGCAAAAGAGCTCCAGCATGGACTGAACGGGAGGTACGGGATCTGATCGCTGTTTGGGGAGAGGAATCCGTGCTATCAGAACTCCGTTCCAGTTTTCGAAATGCCAAAACCTTTCTGAAAATCTCCCAGGGCATGAAGGACAGAGGCCATAACAGGGACCCGAAGCAGTGCCGCGTGAAACTGAAGGAGCTGAGGCAAGCCTACCAGAAAACCAGAGAGGCGAACAGCCGCTCTGGGTCAGAGCCCCAAACATGCCGCTTCTATGATGAGCTGCATGCCATTTTAGGGGGTTCAGCCACCACTACCCCAGCCGTGTTGTTTGACTCCTTCAATGGAGATGGAGGCAATACAGAAGTAGGTTTTGGGGACGAAGAAGATGATGATGAGGAGGTTGTAGATAGCTCACAGCAAGCAAACGGAGAAACCGGTTTTCCCGACAGCCAGGAACTGTTTCTCACCCTAGACCTGGAGCCAGTACCCCCGAACCCACCCAAGGCTGCCTCCTGGACTCAGCAGGCGGAGAAGGGACCTCTGGTGAGTGTACCTTTTAAAATGCTATACATGGTTTAAAAGCAAGCATGTGAAAGGATTACTTTGCCCTGGCATTTGCGGTTCTGCCTTTGCAAAAGGTTTCTGGGGAGGGCAGCCTTATTTCGTCCTTCATGGTAGGACACTTTACCACTCCAGGCCAGCAACACGTACTGGGGAATCACTGTAGAACAAAGCATTGCAGTGTATGTTTGCTGGCATTCAACCAAAATCACGCGGTGGGAGGAGGCAAAATGCGACCTTGTAACGAAAGCACATGTGCTATGTATGTAATGTTAACAGCAAGGTTTACCCTGAAAGAGTGTAGCGACTGTTTTATAAAATGTGTCTTTTTAAATACCGCTGTCCCTTTTTTTTTCTCCACCAGCTGCATGTGTTTCAATGATCACAGGATCTTCTCCTTCCCAGAGGCTAGTGAAGCTTAGAAAGAAAAAAAAACGCACTCGCGATGAAATGTTCTCCGAGCTCATGCTGTCCTCCCACACTGACAGAGCACAGACGAATGCGTGGAGGCAAATAATGTCAGAGTGCAGGAAAGCACAAAATGACCGGGAGGAGAGGTGGAGGGCTGAAGAGAGTAAGTGGCGGGCTGAAGAGAGTAAGTGGCGGGCTGAAGACAGGGCTGAAGCTCAAAGGTGGCGGCAGCGTGATGAGAGGAGGCAGGATTCAATGCTGAGGCTGCTGCAGGACCAAACCAGTATGCTCCAGTGTATGGTTGAGCTGCAGCAAAGGCAGCTGGAGCACAGACTGCCACTGCAGCCCCTCTGTAACCAACCGCCCTCCTCCCCAAGTTCCATAGCCTCCACACCCAGACGCCCAAGAACGCGGTGGGGAGGCCTCCGGCCAACCAGCCACTCCCCCACAGAGGATTGCCCAAAAAAAAGAAGGCTGTCATTCAATAAATTTTAAAGTTGTAAACTTTTAAAGTGCTGTGCTTAAAGTGCTGTGTGGCATTTTCCTTCCCTCCTCCACCACCCCTCCTGGGATACCTTGGTAGTCATCCCCCTAGTTGTGTGATGAATGAATAACGAATGCATGACTGTGAAGCAGCAATGACTTTATTGGCTCTGCAAGCAATGATTAAAGGGAGGAGGGGAGGGTGGTTAGCTTACAGGGAAGTAGAGTGAACCAAGGGGTGGGGGGTTCATCAAGGAGAAACAAACAGAACTTTCACACCGTAGCCTGGCCAGTCATAAAACTGTTTTTCAAAGCTTCTCTGATGCGTACCGCGCCCTCCTGTGCTCTTCTAACCGCCCTGGTGTCTGGCTGCGCGTAACCAGCAGCTAGGCGATTTGCCTCAACCTCCCACCCCGCCATAAACGTCTCCCCCTTACTCTCACAGATATTGTGGAGCACACAGCAAGCAGTAATAACAGTGGGAATATTGGTTTCGCTGAGGTCTAAGCGAGTCAATAAACTGCGCCAGCGCGCCTTTAAACGTCCAAATGCACATTCTACCACCATTCTGCACTTGCTCAGCCTGTAGTTGAACAGCTCCTGACCACTGTCCAGGCTGCCTGTGTACGGCTTCATGAGCCATGGCATTAAGGGGTAGGCTGGGTCCCCAAGGATACATATAGGCATTTCAACATCCCCAACAGTTATTTTCTGGTCTGGGAATAAAGTCCCTTCCTGCAGCTTTTGAAACAGACCAGAGTTCCTGAAGATGCGAGCATCATGCACCTTTCCCGGCCATCCCACGTTGATGTTGGTGAAACGTCCCTTGTGATCCACCAGAGCTTGCAGCACTATCGAAAAGTACCCCTTGCGGTTTATGTACTCGGCGGCTTGGTGCTCCGGTGCCAAGATAGGGATATGGGTTCCATCTATAGCCCCACCACAGTTAGGGAATCCCATTGCAGCAAAGCCATCCACTATGACCTGCACATTTCCCAGGGTCACTACCCTTGATATCAGCAGATCTTTGATTGCGTGGGCTACTTGCATCACAGCAGCCCCCACAGTAGATTTGCCCACTCCAAATTGATTCCCAACTGACCGGTAGCTGTCTGGCGTTGCAAGCTTCCACAGGGCTATCGCCACTCGCTTCTCAACTGTGAGGGCTGCTCTCATCTTGGTATTCATGCGCTTCAGGACAGGGGAAAGCAAGTCACAAAGTTCCATGAAAGTGCCCTTACGCATGCGAAAGTTTCGTAGCCACTGGGAATCGTCCCAGACCTGCAACACTATGCGGTCCCACCAGTCTGTGCTTGTTTCCCGAGCCCAGAATCGGCGTTCCACAGCATGAACCTGCCCCATTAGCACCATGATGCATGCATTGTCAGGGCCCATGCTTTCAGAGAAATCTGTGTCCATGTCCTGATCACTCACGGGACCGCGCTGACGTCGCCTCCTCGCCCGGTATCGCGTTGCCATGTTCTGGTGCTGCATATACTGCTGAATAATGCGTGTGGTGGTTAATGTGCTCCTAATTGCCAAAGTGAGCTGAGCGGGCTCCATGCTTGCCGTGGTATGGCGTCCGCACAGAAAAAAGGCGCGGAACGATTGTCTGCCGTTGCTCTGACGGAGGGAGGGGCGACTGACGACACGGCTTACAGGGTTGGCTTCAGGAAGCTAAAATCAACAAAGGGGGTGCCTGTACATCAAGGAGTATTTCAGGCAGGACTGCACGGAGGGTTCCAATAAGAAATGGTGCACCTAAGTTATCGTTGTTATTGGAACAAGGAGGTTAGCCTGGCCTCTGATTGATACATGGCTAGATTTACCTCGCTGCACCTTCTCTGTGAGTGACTGCAGTGTGACCTAGAGGAATGAGTCCCCTAGACAGGGGAGGAGGCAAATGAGTACAAAACAAATCTGGTCTATTTCTTGTTTTGACCCACTCCATCTATCTTTTACATCTTTGGCTGGCAGCAGACGGTGCAGAAGGACTGCGTGCCATCCACATCTCATGGCTGCTCGGCAGAAGATGGTACAGTACGCCTGCTAGCCATCCCCATCTCTTGCCTGCCTGGCAGAAGATGGTGCAATACGACTGCTAGCAATCCTCATCTCTTGCCTGCCTGGCAGAAGATGGTACAGTACGACTGCTAGCAGTCCGTATCGCCTGCCTGCTCACCATAAGACGGTTCAATAGGACTGACTGCAGGACTAAAGAGAATGACCTGGTCAAGTCACTCCAAATTTAGTCCCTGCGCCCATGTCTGCCCAGGCGCTCCCAGCCGACGCGGCCAGGAGCACCTCGGACACGATGAGGACGACTACCAATCGTATTGCACCGTCTGCTGCCAGAAGGCAAGGGGTTGCTGCTACTGTGCAGCAAAGCCGTACCGCGTCTGCCAGCACCCAGGAGACATAGGGTGACGGTTACCTGAGCGGGCTCCATGCTTGCTGTGGTATGGCGTCTGCACAGGTAACTCAGGAAAAAAGGCGCGAAATGATTGTCTGCCCTTGCTTTCACGGAGGGAGGGAGAGAACGGGGGCCTGACGACACGTACCCAGAACCACCCGCGACAATGTTTTAGCCCCATCAGAGCGCTCCATTGTGACTGCTCTGGACAGCACTCTCAGATGCCCGATTGTTTGCCATTGCTCTGACGCTGGGAGGGGCGCTTACAGGGTTGGCTTCAGGGAGCTAAAATCAACAAAGGGGGTGGCTTTACATCAAGGAGTATTTCAGGCAGGACTTCACAGAGGGTTCCAATAAGAAATGGTGCACCTAAGTTATTGTCCTTATTGGAGCAAGAAGGTTAGCCTGGCCTCTGATTGATACATGGCTAGATTTACCTCGCTGCACCTTGACTGCAGTGTGATCTAGAAGAATGAGTCCCCTAGACAGGGGAGGGGGGGAAGCAAATGAGTACAAAACAAATCTGGTCTATTTCTTGTTTTGACCCACTCCATCTATCTTTTACATCTTTGGCTGGCAGCAGACGGTGCAGAAGGACTGCATGCCATCCACATCTCATGACTGCTCGGCAGAAGATGGTACAGCACGACTGCTAGCAGTCCGTATCGCCTGCCCGCTCACCATAAGACGGTTCAATAGGACTGACTGCAGGACTAAAGAGAATGACCTGGTCAAGTCACTCCAAATTTAGTCCCTGTGCCCATGTCTGCCCAGGCGCTCCTGATCGACCTCACAGAGGCGACCAGGAGCACCTCAGACATGACGATGACGGCTACCAGTCGTACTGTACCGTCTGCTGCCACAAGGCAAGGGGTTGCTGCTACTGTGTAGCAATGCCGTACCGCGTCTGCCAGCACCCAGGAGACCTAGGGTGACGGTTACCTGAGCGGGCTCCATGCTTGCCATGGTATGGCGTCTGCACAGGTAACTCAGGAAAAAAGGCGCGAAATGATTGTCTGCCCTTGCTTTCACGGGGGGAGGGAGGGAACGGGAGGCTGACGATATGTACCCAGAACCACCCGCGACAATGTTTTAGCCCCATCAGGCATTGGGATCTCAACCCAGAATTCCAATGGGCAGCGGAGACTGCGGGAACTGTGGGATAGCTACCCACAGTGCAACGCTCCGGAAGTCGACGCTTGCCTCGGTACTGTGGAAGCGCTCCGCCGAGTTAATGCACTTAATGCACTTAGAGCATTTTCTGTGGGGACACACACACTCGAATTTATAAAACCGATTTCTAAAAAACCGACTTCTATAAATTCGACCTTATTCCGTAGTGTAGACATACCCTATGTGAAGAAAGCCAGGGAGTTCAAGTGTCCTATTGTTTAGTATGCTAGGGGCATGTCCCCCTGGATCCTGCTTCTCTTAAGTGTCCAGCTTCTTCAGTACCATAGGCAGTTTTAGCAAAAAATAAAAATAAATCCTACTTAAGCCAACACCTGTTCAACGGCAACAATATGAGCCTTGTTGTTGAAAAGGCTCTGATA